CCACTTCATGGCCGCCGATCTCTTCTTAGGGCCAAGCACGTTCCTCGCATTCAATGGCACGATTTCTTGGAACCTAAAGTACGTTCGTGAACATCATAAATTGTACTGCTACTAGAGCAATGCAACCTGACGACAGCACAGTTCAGAATCAGAAGGATCAGCAATAAGTACCCAAGAACATATATGTCGCAGGATCCTGCCGTGGTGTCCAAGTCCAACCAGTTCTTGAGGTCCAGATCATCTGGCGGCGCAATGCCACCCATTCCATGTACCAGCAAACACCCTGCATCAGAATCAGATCAGACCGTGGAAACTTATTTGCCAATTGCATATGACACGAACCCAGTTCATCTTCATCTACGCAAGATGCTTCAAGGGGACGAATCCTCACTTGTACTTGATGGACTCGTTTTGCCCAGGTTGCAGTTGCAGCAGGGTGCTGCTCTTATCAGGCCTGCAAACTCGGAACTGAGACGATGGTGCAGAAGCTTCGCCACTGATCTTGGCAAGACCATCTGGAATAGATGAGAGACGAGTTCATGTCAGTGATGCACAAGTTATCTGAACATATATTTGCATTTCTGCAGAGATAGATGGAACTCATGGAAGACTTGTGCAAGCTCTTGGCTCTTCTCCATGACAACGAAGAAATGTTTGACAGATCACCGACTAGCGGCCTTGGCGCCTCTTTCAGCAAGGACTAGGGAGCATTCAAGGATTAATTGGAGGGATGAGGTAGCAGGGAAGGTTCAGAGATGAACAAGTCTGGACAGATACCATATATGCATAGGTGGCAAGGAAGGAGAGAACGCTGGCACAATAACAATGTGCAGGAGGCGCTACCACGCTAGATATGATGGTGACAGGAGGAGATACATGATAAGCATCTAGCCACCCACACGTTTAAGTGGAGTCGTCAAAGTCTCTGCATGCACCAGCGTACTTACTGAACAAACCTAGACCTCACAAAAATCAGCACCTTTTGTTACCAAGAAAAACATAATCAGAAGGGCCCAAGGTTACAGCCCCTAGGGAGACATCTAGAGGGATGCAACGGTGGAACTGGTTGTGGACGACAGTTCAGGAACAGAATGTATCTGATGTCATGTACCACCTCCGTCCTTTTTAACTATCATTTTAAACTTTAACCATATATATATTAATATTTATGTACATAATTAGTACAATTACATAAATCATTGAATTTATTTTATAATTAACTTATTTGGAGATACAAATGTTATTATTTTCTATAAATCTAGTCGAAGCGAAGAAAAGCTTTGCACGAATACCATAGCGACATAAAAAAATGACAAAGGGAGTATGCATGTGTACTCCCTAAACTAAAAGGGTCAATATATTGCATCGAGTTGACATATTGAACCTCGTGGGCATCTTTAATTGAATTAAATTATCGTCAAGGCCTCAAGCAATTTATAGATTTGATGGAAAACTAACTCTATCTGATCCCAAAATTGGATTCTTAGCATAAAATTGGATCCAAATCCATCGCAGAGCACGCACCACGCGAGCCAGGCCACGGAGAAACGAGTCTCATTTTCGTTTCCTGGGAGCTTGGCCGGCTGGGTGTGCTTGCACCCCAGGAGCCTGGCCCAGGCCATAGAGCAGGCATCCAAACGGACTTGAGGTGCATCTCGGGAGCCTGGCCCGTCCAAAAGCAGTGCATAAAATCGGTTTTAGTTTTTACGTAGATTTTATCGTGAGAGAATCATAAATTAATTCCACACAGGAACATCTTATCAAAGATTCACTTCCCATAAAGAGTCAGGATTAGAAGAAGCTCTATCAAACAAGCCATAATACTCTTTCCTATCTAGATTGTCCCAATCTCTGAAGAATGCCCATGTTTTTTATTATGAACTAGAAGCTAGTTGGCAGTTGTTGAAAGCGATGATATGTTTACTTGCTCCTGGTCTTACTTTTATATTTTTTTTTTCTTTGGGAACAGGCTAGTCTCACTTTGAAGTACTGAGATGATCATCATAGCAGCACGCATGATTGGCCCAATAATTACCTGAAACATTGACCAACAAATGAAGAACTGTTGCACACTGCTACTGAAAATGCCCAATAATCAAACTTAAAACTGCTGCTCGATGGATCTGAATCTAATCTTGTGGTGGTAATCTTCTTCACATTGTTGTTCCTGTGTGACTGGACTCTGATGGAGCACGTCAGATTGGAAGAATCGAGAATTAGCATCTACCAGTCTTGAACAACTGGGTGATCACAAAAGTCGCAAACTTTATTCATCGGCCTAACGATGGTGAGTTTTAGGGTCCATATAGGAATCATGTATGCCGAAAATGTTGACGAGAGTAACGCGTCCATTGAATTCGCGGCTGCAGAACTCGTGAAACATAAACGGACGCAATAGGCCAATAAGTCAATAGGTAACGGCCAACGTTCTAGTCCTAGCAAGTCGGTATTACTTTTTTTTGTTTCCGAACACACCTTTCATAGATCATAGATTGATCCAGCAAATATGTTGACATTGATGAATTAGCAATACACGTATAAGCTGTCGACGGACACACCACATAACAGTATTTAGCGCCATTAAATCCTAGTATAAGAATACAAGCACCCTTGCTAGATTAAAAGACTTAATTAAAATCGAGTTTTACCAGGAAGTTTGAAGCAATTTGATAAAATACTTGTTTGTATTTCTTAATTGAGATGATAGTATTATATTTTGGTCAATTTTATAATGGAAGGGGAACAAAGGTGCTTGGTTTTGCTTTGTGTGTCCTTTAATTTTTTATAAGGGATCAATTTTTATTTTTCCATTGTAATTTTGTTTAGTCCCTGATTAGAAGCACAGATTACAAAGCCAAGACACAAGCTGAGAGACAACCACCGATGACCCAAAAGAGCAACCACGGAGTAACTTATTTGTTAGCCATACGTGGACATTACATTCACACCACTCCTTGTGGCTAAGCCACTCTTCTCTTGAGGGCCGCCCAGCGAAATGGGGACAAAAGGTGACGAATGAACCGAATCTCACCAAACACAATAATTTCTCTTCAAACTATAGACAACACCATTTACAGCATCCCGACTCCATATACCACCATCCAAATTCATATAATATAGAGATTGCCTCGAAGAAGAATGACAGAAGAGGTGGAATGAACACCACCTCTAGCACTTGATTTGGTAATGCCACCAATACAGACGTCAATGGAGCAGAGGCACCAAAAAAGTACACTTACCGAACCAACGGGGCCCATCAACCAACATCAACCATGCCCAAGAAGTGTACTTCTTTGCATAGATGAGGATACACTCAATTAAAAGCTCCAACGGATACACTCAATTAAGAAGCTCCAACGACCAAGGAGCTTGCCAAAGGGAAGAACTAAGAGTCGGGGCCAAAGCATGGCGAAAGAACTTGACACCCATACAATGCCCAGGGTGTGGTGGTTGAAGGAAGTCAGAATGGCACAACCGTCTTCACCAAAACTAGCTAGGACGAGGTCAAACCAAAAGCCCCTCATTGTGAAGTTACACCATTGTAATTTATGACCCACGAAGATTACGTTTAGCTACACTCTAACCTAACTCGATCTATATGTATTAGGGTGGATATGGTGAAAAACTAGTTGATTTTGTATCGCAATATATGTGGATTGTGGTGGATTGAAGTGGCTAGATAAACTCTAATGTGTTGACTAATCATCGATGGCATGTAAAGGTTGGGATGTTATTTTATATAATGGTATATAGGTCAGATATTCAAAGAATTTGCAGCAGCCCAGGTGAAGTTATCTTTGGTTTAAGACTCAATACTTTTTCTAGATATATAAAAATGACACGAGACTTTTATTTCTCTCCATCTCTCTAGCTACAGCGCACGTTGACGCCCATGGTATCCGGCCCAACTCTGGCAGGAATAATGGTCCGACCAACCTAGCTTTTGACCCGCGCAACTCCTGAGATGCCGAAGGCCTACAGAGTGCAAAGCCCTCGTGCATAAAAAAAAAATTCTAAAAAAAAATCACATATTTTTCATTTCGCTTTAGTTCATTTATTCACGAAAATAAAAGGTAGTAACAATTGGAGTTAGCATCACCTTCACATCTGACCAAACTGCATCCTGAAAACATCGCATTTCTCATATACTCACGTACAAGACATGTTTTAAAGTGAAATGTTTTATATTGCTAAGCAACGAGACTCAAAGTTTACCCCAGGTTGTTTACCAAAAAATCAATCATTCTACCAGATTTCTTCTTTTCACTCAAACGTGCATCACATGCAGCTAATTGGCGCGTCCAGTCACTAGACGCAAGCACAGCTAGACATACCCCCTCAACGAGTAACCTGCAGCTAATTGGCGCAAGGTCGAATCTTTCATGGGCGCCACACCGGTCCGTCAAGCAAGCATGAACCGAAAGTCAGGCAGGCCATGGCTGATGGCTGCATGGCGCGGAGATGCTCTGGATAAGGAGGCATCCATTGTTTTGGTTGTCCTAATTTTAGTGTTTTCTTCCGGCGTCCCGGCGACTGATACCGTGATAGTGGCGTGGGCGCCCACCGCCCGCGGTCGTCCATCCCACGGCCGCCATTGCCCGGAATCGCCGCATCTCTCTCGCGCCGCTTGCTTTAAAATGCCCGTGTGCGAGGAAGGAGGTCATCATCATCACTCCACTCACCAGCGGAGACGGCTTGCCCCCCGACCCCCGTGCGGCAGAGGCAGAGCTCGATCGAGCACTCGACACCAGCTAGCAGGGACAGACAGGGATGGCGAGCCTGACGGTGCCGCCGGTGCCGACGTAGCCACGGCAGGACGCGATCGACCTCCACAAGGCGTTCCAAGGGTTCAGGTGCGACAGCACGACGGTGATAAGCATCCTGGCGCACCGCGACGCGGCGCAGCGCGCGGCGATCAGCCAGGAGTACCGCGCCGTGTTCAGCTAGGGGACCTTGCCCGTCGCATCGCGTCGGAGCTGAGCGGCAACCACAAGCGCGCCATGCTGCTGTGGGTCCTGGACCCGGCAACGCGCGACGCCACCATCCTGAAGCAGGCCCTGACGGGCGACGTCACCGACCTGCGAGCCGCCACGGGTGGTCTGCTCCCGGGCGCCGTCGCAGCTGCGGGTCGTGCGCCAGGCGTACCGCGCCAGGTTCGGCTGCCACGTCGAGCACGACTTGACCGAGCGGACCTCCGGCGACCACCAGCGGCTCCTGCTCGCGTACCTGGCCGTCCCGCTCGCCGAGGGCGGCCCCGGCGAGGTGGTGGACCCGGCGGCGGTGGCGCTGGACGCGCGCGACTCTACAGGGGCCGGCGAGCGGCGGCTGGGGACAGACGAGCGCGCCTTCATCCGCGTCTTCAGCGAGCGGAGCTGGGCGCACATGGCGGCCGTGGCGCGCGCGTACCACCACATACGACCGATCCCTGGAAAGCGCCGTCAAGAGCGAGACGTCGGGCAACTTTTGCTTCGGCCTCCTCACCGTGCTGCGATGCGCCGACAGCCCCGCCAGGTACTTCGCCAGGGTGCTGCACAAGGCCATGAAGGGGCTGGGCACCTCGGACTCGGCGCTCATCCGGGTCGTCGTCAGCAGGGCCGAGATCGACATGCAGTTCATCAAGGCGGAGTACCACCGGATGTACAAGCGATCGCTCGCCGACGCCATCCACGCCGAGACGTCCGGCCACTACCGCACCTTCCTCCTCTCCCTCGTCGGCCGCGACCGCACCTGCTGAATACCAAAATCGGTGTGGCTGCTGCTGCTGCATGCTTTCCAGCGTTCTTAGCCATCGCATCGTGTGCGCTTGCTATTCCGATCCTGTTAACTCCATCCATGGAAATGTTCCTTGCCTTGTAAATACTCCTACTTGTATTCTTGGGATAGTTGTTCGAATAATGGTTTGACAGCTCAAAATGTGTATGTCCCTATTAACAAAGACAATGGAATTATTATGATCAACTCAAGAAGGACATGTACATACTGCATACCTGCAGGTAGCGGTGGCTATTCATTCACTACAAAGTTCATCTGCTCACTATCCCATACAGAAAGAACAGCATTGGCCGCCATGCCAAACGTACAGGCTGCCAAAGTTCAGAGCTAGTGTTATACAGCTAGTCGCCGAGAGAAACAGAGCTGCCGCAACAAACATGTCTGTCTCCTACCTCTTACAAACAGCCAAACCGTAATTCACATAGATAGACCCGAGGGCTTCATACAGGACGCAACCAGCTAGCCTCAGTCGACCGGCTTCTGGTTCACATGCCGGGACGCTGAGTATGATTGGATCGCCCGAGCTCAAATCACGCCAATAGAGTGTACGTCAGGTCAAAGCTCTTCCTTGCTTGGCGAACAAGATCATCCAGAAGAACCCAACCCAACCTGCAGTAGGATGCGTTTTCTCAACATTAGCACAATGCACACGTGATACAAAGCAGGTCCTCAGACTCAGAAGGCAAGATATGCTACTCCCCAACAAATCTCAAAGAGTATTCTTGCTGCAAGGAAACTGCTTTGTCAAGACAGATTTTTCCGTGCTTTACCCTTCTAGATATTGGGCATCACAATCTCTATGAAATTTCTAAAAAGAGAATCATAACTGCAGCTATTTTTGCTAAAGCTATGCCACTTTATTCCCCATTATCCAGGGGATCTAGTTTGATGTCTACTTATTCTCCACTAATTTGTGGAGAAGGTGCTGTTGTGACTACTTACTCTCCTAAAGTAAAAAGAAGGTGAAATTGACAAGAGATCCTAGACTATCAATTTGATATAGCCTTTCAGGAAGTCATGTGGAGGAAATGATTTATAAGAAATGAAACTCTTTTCTTGGGATGGACAAGGTGGAAATTGGAAACTCAATTTGACATGCAGTAAATTGACCTCACCTACATTTTTCATTCACAAGTTTTAAAATGTTAACTGTTGCATTCATAATTCTTCCAGAATTTTAGTTCTGCTTCTTTTTCCTGATAATACCTTTGAAAATCTTTAGTTTTGCAAGTTCATACCTTTCATCACATCTTAGATGCTGACCCAACATTAAAGGAGGAACATAATGTAATTATTTGCATTTTGCAGTAGAATCTCTTCAACTCTATTTAACACTTGTTTCTTGAGCAATTGTAATGAGATTTCAAAAGCTTTATGAACTAGTTTAAATGCCTCTACATGGTTCTCCTAATTGTAGAAAAACAGAATGTTAAAGAGAAAACCGGAAGTGGTATCAATAATTCACCAAAGTTACAATATATAGATGTCTCTACATGGTTCTCCTAGTTAGTAGTGACCACAATGTCAAGGAAAACAAGCACAACTTATAAACAAATCACCAAAATTACATAGTACAGACGTTTTATGTGATTGTCCTAATGAATTAGGAAGCATACTCATTGTCACTGAAACCATATAGCACAATAACTTCTTACTTCTTCCATTGTTAGTCATCAATCATCATTGTTCTTAAAAGATCTTAAAATATTAATACAAAAGAGTCAATTTACTGTTAAGCATATAACAATGGGCAACCAACATTTGGTTCTCTTAATTGTTGATTTAATGCGTTCATGACTCTATTCTGATTCTGATGCTAAGATGAGCCGCATAGGCACCCTGTGGGAAGTAGCCAATACTAATTTTCTGATTCCTGATCTAACTTTATTACATGGGCAAGTGCATAGATTGAGATGATAATTCAGTTGAAAAAGAGACATTTGTTACAGTTTCACCATATTAACATTGACTAAATTAATTTCAGACGCAGAAGTGCAGATCTTCTATAATGGTTGGAGATTCAGGTAAAGTCTTTAAGGTTTTATATTATGCCTGAAGGTCGATTGCATATTAATATTTCAACAGCAGTACAATCTTTTATAGGGAATATAGATGATTTACCTGTAGCAATCATAACTCCAACAACTGCTGAGATGACAGTCTTGAAATGGCAAAGATAACCAACTGATACTGCTCAATATACACTGCAACTAAGCAAGCAAAGAAGATGGCCAAGAATCCTCCGGCAGCAGCCAGTGACATCAGGACTGAGACGATGATTGCATTAGCAGTGGCAACCAGCAGGAAGAACATGAAGATCAGAAGGCCAGTCAATGCTATAAGCGTGATTGTCCCGACCTGCCACATCAGAAAAGGGCAAAATGAGGAAAATTTACAGTATTTACTAAGAAATTTCAAGAATTCCTAAAATGGATGCCAAACTATAGAAGAGATATCATGTAAGAGTTTATATGGGATCAAAACTGCATTGCAAAAAGCAATCTACCATGTTGTATTGCTAGTGAAGTAATCTACCATGTTTTGTTTCCACTTACACATGCTCCCTCCACCTAGAAATGCAGTGGATTTTGAGTTGTCTGAAGTCAAACTAACCTAAGTTTGATAAATTTTTTTCAAGAAACAACCAATAATATTTATGATATTAAATGAGCACTATTAAAAATCCTGATACCCTATGAAATCTATTTTTATAGTTTATCTATTTGAGGTTGTAGATGTTAATACATTTTTTTGTAAATTTAGTTAAACTTAAGGTAGTTTGATTTAGGACAAACTTGATCCTATTATATCTCAGGACAAGAGGGATTACAATTCAGTCTATTCTTCATTTCCCTCAACAGATTTTGTAAACATTTTGGCCCCTGAGACCTAAAAGTACCAATCTAAACCAACATTGCAATTGGCGACTATGACACAGTAATCCTATTGACTGAAGCACAGACTAAAACAAGTGTACTGCTAAGCAATCACCTATAAAGACTTGTTCAAGTCGCGCAAACAATGAATGAATTACAGAACATCGGAGTCAGATTTGGTAGTAAACAGGGCAAGGAAAACTCATGCTTATGTGACGGATCAAGGAGGCGTGGGGCCCACCGAGATGACGAGGATGGCGCGGAGGCCGCTGCCCCGCCTGGTCCACTCGAGCAGGTCCCCGCGCGGAGTTCCGGGACGCGCCCTCAGCCGCGGCGCGGCCTCGCAGGACGCCGCCCGGAGCCATGTAGCAGCGGCTCGTCGTCAGGGTACCAGACGCCGTTGACGTAGCGGCGGAGGACGCCGGCGAGCGTGTCCTCCTCCTCGCCGACGTCCACCTCGTGGGCGCCGGAGGGGGCCTCGCCGTTCGAGGCGGGCTTGGCGGGGTGGGCCCGTCCACATCCATGGCCGGAGGGGAGGGCGGTGGGGGACCTGGGAGGAGTCAATGCAACTGGGCAGCGTCGGCGAGGGGAACAGGAACGGATGAGGGTATACACCGTACATTCTGGATTTAACATGAGGGGTTCGGGCCTTCGGACACGTGGTCGGTTGGAGTGGCGCGGCCGTGGCCACGGAGGTGACAGGTGTACCTGGGGCCCACCCAGAACTCGCATCACGCATTCATTCACGTGCTGGTCGAGTGCCGCCGTTGGGTGCTTTGGGTACAAGACTATTTGAAATAGTCTATTTCTACTGGCTGGAAGAGCGGGTCCCCACACTACCGTTTGCATAATGCATTTTGGATCAGGTTAGGGCTTTTTTTTATGTCTATATATTAATCTTAATCGTGATTGAAGTGCATATACATGCATTCAAACAAAGGTCTTAAGTGGAATTATTTAAGCAGGAACAACGTGTCACCAAAGCATGTGCATTGACAAATGTCTATTGAATGTGATCGGTTCGGCTAATCAACTTAATTATGAGATTAATTAAAGCGTTAAGCTTTTTGGTCCACCCACTCGGGTCATTCATTTCCGGCTAAATAAGAATTGTGTGATCGGCCACAACCCTTAGAATTCTAAGGGTTCACTTTTATGACCCACAGTAGCAACTATAAATAAGAGGAGGCGCCTACGGCGTCTCTATCCCATTCATCCCCAGTGACTATTCACATAACTTAGATCAATTAGGCGTTGGAGGATTAGGAAGGCCATCACCCGCTTATCCCATCCAGGTCCATCTCGGTCGTATAGCGGCAACTACTGGCTCCTCACGTTCTTCATCGACAGAGGCGTTCAAGTCCTCGGGCGGTGAACTAAAAGCATCCACTACATCTCGACCTCCATCGCATATCTAACGTCATGGATGGCGTCCATGGCTCAAGTTAGTTACTAAGATACATTCGTGATAAGTTTGAGTTAGTGATCATGTTTATGCTAAGTTAAAGATCCTGTGGGTCTAAGTTTCATTTCAACAATGGCACAACTTTAAATTTGGTGACCGCCACGTTGTTAGCTCTCAACTCAAGCCATATTGACATCTTCTAATTACATTTGTCAATCAAATCAATCGGGGATGATTGAGGCGATTAAATCACCTACTCCACCGCTCCCCTCCATGTTGGTAAAAAGAAGTCATTTTGATAAGATTTTAATCAAACATTGGGGATATAAATCATGAATAATTTTAAATTGTTGAGTTTGACAATGTGAGAAAACCACATGAATAGATTTGTCTTGAAAAATACTTTCATAAATATATACATATAACACCTTTCAATAAATATTTTTTATAGAAATAAGAAGTCAAAAGTTATGCTTTGGAGTCACGTATTTTGAGGGTTTTGTTTCGTTTGTTTTTCCTTCTTTTGGTCTAGGCTACTTCTCATAGTAACTTTCATCGGACATGCCTATATAGGCCCCTGTTCACTTATTTGAAAAAACAAGCGAAACACTGTTAAAATTTGATTTGTTATGAGAGAGAAAACAACATTGTTCAACTCAAAAAACAAGCTAAAAAAATACGGATTATAAGACAATGAACAGGGCCATATTGTTGTTATTCCATATTATCTTTGGTGCTCATTCATTTGTTATTTACTTCTTTCCATTCTAAGACCCTCTTTGTTTATAGTTTTGTTAGGTTTGTCCATTGGCCTCCCAAACATTTACATATGAGTAACTTCTTTAACTCAAAATAAAAGCTAAAAAGGGTAAAGATTGGAAACCACTAAAACATGGCTTTCTCACTACTTACTTCAAAGCAATTACTTTTAAAGCGAGCAAAGGTGTTTTTACTGTCATAACAAATCAACATAAGCTAAATTTGATGAAACGAGCAGGGCAATTATGTAGAAACCCAAACTCTGCCAAAGAAGGCATAAATACAGAATGTTTACAACAAGATAACTAATTCAGAGGAATCTAATGAGTTTTTCAGATATAAATATAATGAGTTCTAAATTAAAGGCCTTTGCTATTTGAATTTGTGCTTTGTGCTAAGAAATCGTTTTAGCTTTTTGCTAGTTTTTGTTTTCAGCCAGAGCTGAAACTTTTAAATATGCTTGGTTGTGTGCACGACTCATGTAGAGGCCTGGAATAAAGATTGTTCCTTTTTCTAAAAAATGGTCATCTTGGTTTTGTCCTAAATCAATTTTCTTCAACTTTAATCAAGTTTGTAGGAAATGCACCAACATTTAGAACATCAAATTTGTTTTTATTAAATTCTCAAAATAGAGATGTCCATTTTTCCAAATTCTCAAGTGGCAAGTTAATCATATTGAACAAAATCATATATGATGAAAACTAGACCCTTGACATATATCTTTTATATAAGTATAGAAATAGAAATATATAAATGTATATTTGCTGTTGCTTCCGAAATAAGTCACAATGGGCCGGTTTGAATGGCTAAAATGAAGGAATTGGAAAAATTGAAGAAGAAGAAGAAGAAGAAGAAGAAAAGAGTGAGTACGGACGTTGGAGAATAGGCCTGTCTATATGTTGTTGGGCCTTCTCGAAGTGGTACCGTCATCTGAGAAGCAAATCTGCAGGGCTCGAAAACTCATGTCCCAATAAACTTTCCGGCCCAGTTGCAGCCTCGTATTCCTTGCTCCTGCTAAACTTGCTAACAGCGTATACGATAGTTCTAAAAAATTGGTAAATCAATGAGTTTCCAAGTGACTAAAAAAGATAGACATATATTTATTGAGCTTCTCCAATAGTTTTCAAAATCCTTCTCCTTAAATATGAAAGACGATTTTTCTAGACTTTTCTAAATTACCCTATCTAAGCACTTTGTACTTTTGTTTCTCTAAGTGTACATCTATATTAGACTCTGTTTGGTAGGGCTACACTTCACTAGTAAAGCTTTTTTTTTTTTGCTTCAGCTCCACGAACAGTTCCACCCGGTGGAGTACAAGCGTGTTTTCAATAAACCGTTTGGCAAAATGGCTTCTGTGAGAAACATGTTTTAGGGGGCCAGAGGAGGAGCTTCTAGAGTTTTTACTTTTTTTGCTCCATCCCACCCCAAATCATTGTGAGAGCATATTTTTAGGGCTTCTGAATTGAGCTGTTCACTTTACCCCGTTTAACGAAACAGCTCCAAGCAGCTCCTCGTTGTTGGAGAAGCCACCTGCCAGCAGAGGGCCTTAGAAATCCTATCTTACTCCTTATTCTTCTCCACACATCCTTTCACCTTTAGATTGACGATGGTTATGCGTGTGTATATTTCGGCTCAATCGGGTCGATTTTCCTGGCGCGGAAAGATTGGGAGTTAAGATAGGAGTTTCTTTAGACCAATTTTTTCAATCCTCATAAAAACTCAAGAATGGGAGTGGGTTTTAGAAACTCTTGGAGATGCTCTAAGGGCCAGTCTAGGTCATCAGTTCAGCCACTAATCTTTAGTTTTTAAGCTCCAAACAGGACCTAAAAGCGTCGTTGTCTAAAGTTTGAATCAATCTTACAAGAAAACCATTAATTTTTAGGAAACAGATAATAAGTGAGCTAAAAAAGTGTTATAAAGTTTAGTAGCTAACTAATAAACTTTATTAGACCATAAATAAAATCTAAAAGGATCGAATTCTCGCACGCGTGTGGTGAATTGCATCTTGCAAATAGGGGTGTATAGGGAGATGCATGTAGAATGCGAGGCCGGAGGGGCAGAACGAGTGTACTGTCCGATCGACAGCGATAGCATGTATGGTACGGTGTATCGGGTCGATCGGTGTCGTCACGGTATATACATGCATGAGCACTGTTGATCTCCTTAACATCCGTACGCGCATAAACGACCATAAATTAGACGTACAATTGCAGATATGTAGTACTATACGTACCAGCATCCTTTTACTCTCCATGGAATAATTCAGTTTGCACCGTACGTGTACGAGCCGCGCGCCGGCCTTGTTTAGTCGTCATCATAGTCATTACATACACAGTGCTGCTAGTGCTGCAGGATCTACATACAGGGCCTTTAATCGTATCCTTTATACTGTCTTCAACGAGGAACTTCATATAGACACCTAAAGCTAAAATGGATGAGAGATCAAAATCGGCCTCCAACGTGAATGCATCATATCGGAGAGCTTATTTTGGGTTGTATGAGAGGGTACAATCCAAATATGAGCAACGTCTCTCACGGAAACTCATTTACGTAAATGATTCTCTTTTGCATCTGGTTGTTGGAGAAGATCTTATGAATATGTATTGAATCTTTATGCGAAGCGCTACCCAAAGGACAGAATTGGGTCTTGCCAGATGTGTGTTCGCCGTTAGAGATAGCCTATGATGTACCCAAACAGATCCATTCCATGAATATGAATATGAACGACGACACAACACATCATCCGATCGATCGTTACCCTCATTCTCTTTCAGCTCGATGGACGGCGCCTCGGTCGATCATGGTCAGTGCCATCATCTTCTGGCTTGGATCCGCAGCTCGACCAGAGAGGGTACGGTACACCTCATTTACATGCAAGCATCCAGCTATCTAGGCAGGCAGGACGCAGGAGGCAGCAGGGGACGACTCAGATTCAATTCAAATTCAAACAGCTAGCCGTCAGTTCATACCTGCTAGCTACTGGTAGTAGCTAGCTTGGTCGATAATCGATTTCTTCCTTTAGCACACACCTCGTTAGCAGTACGTCATTATGGAGTACTACCCTAGCTAATTACGCCAGGTGGGAGCCGCCGCCGCTAGCTGCTACACGTTACGTACGCAGCACTGCACCTATACTACTGTGCATGCCTTGCTTTTCCATCATCATCATATCGATATGATGGTGGTTTCTGTCATCAGGTCGGTCATGCAGCAGCAACCCAGCAAATAAAACTCTGGAGCACATGGATACACCAACAGTGATGCGTCGTAAAAGGGCAATAGATATGATCGGACGGCTCTTGCGATCGACCTAGCTACCGTATGTCGATCATGCATGCCCCATAACTACCGCAGCAGATAATGGCCTGCTTTATTCACCTTAACTGCAGCTGATCTGTCTGTTCATTTCAAGAGAACGGAGTGTCAACAATGCTGTCACATCTATCTCTTCTCTGTCT